AGGGGACATATAGGGTGCAACGTTGTCGATTTCATTTGCAAATTTGTATATACTACAAGGTAGAACAATTTTTTGGAAGGAGAGGCTTCAGATTTTTCAAGTCTTTCAAACACATATCTATCAATTGATATGGGGATGCTTCCATACTTGGCAATAACCAGTCAGAATGCCTGTTATTAGGCGCAGATTATGTCTAGTCTAGTATTTGACTATATATGAAAGGCTTAATACTGTGTCAAAGATATTGTATTTTCTCTGTATGTTTCAATGAAAATCAAACTTATTTTTTTTATCTGAAATTATACTTGTATGTACCTACAAGCAGAGCTGAGCACGAGTACTGAATAAAACACTCGTAAATTGTACTAGGACGAGTACTCGAAAATTGTATTTATAAGTATTTTATTCGTAAGTACTTTTATAGAGACAGTTTACGGATACGAGTAGTAATCGTGAAAATACGAGTAAAGAGTACGAGTAGTTTCACAAAATTAACCTAATAATTAAATAAACTATAAAAAGAAACAAAGAAAAACCACTATAATTTTTAAATAAAAATAGTCTTTATTTTCCTAAACAAAATCAAAAAATTATTCTAAAATAAATAAAATACAAAAACTTTGTTTAAAATATAAATAAAACAAACATGGTCAACTTGACAGTAAACAATTAATACAGTTTTTAAAACTGGTAATTTTTAACTTTGTAAAAACTCATCTTTTTGTTTTCATACTTTATCGTTATCGTGTTAAAACAAATCAATATTATTTCGAATTCGCCTTCACATGCTGAAACAGAAAGATGAGGTTTCTGTTATTTTAAAAATTTTTAAACTGTAACCGTCCCCATGTTTAAAAAAAAAAAAAAATTTGACTGCACCCGAAGATGGAAACAAAGTTTTTCGAAACATATAGTGCTGTGCTTACAATAGAAAACAAAATTAATGACCGAATAAACCAAAGAACTGTTTATTTATATAAAATGCTGCTACAGTCAGGAAATTATCCTTATTCAAATTAACGAAGATTTTGTATGGAGACTATATAGACGTTTAATATTTAACCGTTTTCGTAGGAAACACATTCACACCACCACAAAACACCAAAAATAATAAAACGTAAAACGCCCAACGAATTGCTTTTCCCAATATTCCCAACCCAAATCAGAGACCGCAGACCGAACGCAACCGAGGCCGTTTCGTGTCGTGATACTGGCGATGGATAGTAGAGACTGACTGTTAACATGCCATGAACAAAAAATGCCGACTACTCGTAAAATAATACTCGTATTTTACAAGTACATTCTACGAGTAGATTTAAATTTACTTGTAAGTACGAGTAATAAGTACTTAAAATAAAAAATACTTATACGTAAAAATTACGAGTAGTAATTCTACTCGTAATCGAAATACGAGTAAAAGTATTCGAGTACTTGCCCAGCTCTGCCTACAAGTAATAGTTTTGTCACATTTATCTTTTACATCTAAAATACTTGTCCAATATGTTAAAACACATATCCACTTGTCTGCCTGAGCAAGTTCTAAATCGAGAGGTGTTTCCAAAGATTTAATATGGCACTTTTACAGCGAAAGTCTCGAAAAAATTAATTTTTAAAATATCTTTTACATCATTATTCGCAATGTTATAAAAATGCCGTAACCAAACCCCATATATAAAAATAATACTCAGAAACACGGGAACATGCTAAGACAACAAAAATAAATATAATCCGATTGCCGAACTTAAAATATCTAAATGTGTACAATGTGTTTTATTTTTCTTAGTTGTCTCCTTCATAGCTCAGAACCTGTAAAAGATTTTATATTTTTGTAACGAACAAAATGGTGTCTCATAACCTCAAAAACATCAAATGATGTTAACTTAGTGCAAAATAAATACAGGTTTAAAATTTGTACGGTTTGAGTAAAAAATTGTATTTTGCTGGGTTATATGGAACATGCCTAGAAAACATAAACACGTGACAGGTACGGCTTATAGGCGAAATTACTCGATGGATAATGTAGAAAGGGCATTGGAAGCGGTTATTGCCGATGGAATGTCATTTAAACAAGCGGCAGAGGCGTACCAAGTTCCGAAAACTACTATTTACCGAAAGTATAGAGGACAAAACGGTGATACTCTGGGGCGACCACCTGCATTAAATGTGGTTGAAGAAAACCAAATAGTAAATGGTATGATAACGGCCGCTGAATTTGGTTACCCTTTTACTATATCCGAGTTAAAAAGATTCGTCAAGCACTACTTAGATAGGAAGGGTGTACGAAGTGTTTTAAAAAATAATTTGCCCGGGATAGAATGGTGTAATCTGTTTTTGGGTCGTCATGACGAGCTTCGACAAAGAAATTCTGACAATATCAAAAGAGTCAGGGCAGAACTTGGCCCAGAAGTAATTTGCAGTTATTTTGACCATTTGGAAACAACGCTGGAAAATGTGGAAGCTGACAACATAATTAACTATGATGAAACAAATTTGACGGACGACCCTGGAAAAATTCGAGTGATAGTCAGAAGAGGGGTTAAACACGCTCACCGAACTATTGATTTTTCCAAATCATCAACTTCCGTTATGTTTGCAGCTACAGGTTCAGGATTATTTTTACCTCCGTATATTGTATATAAGGCAAAAAATTTATACCCAGAGTGGCTTCAAGGAGGTCCAGATGGATGCTATTACAATCGTAGTGAAACAGGCTGGTTTGATGCTCCTATATTTGAAGACTGGTTCTAAAAAGTTGCTCTTTTGTATTTTCGTAGGTTGAATGGAAAGAAAGTTATTAAGTGTAAGGGGTTAAAGAAAATGTCCTTTATTTCTCACAAGTCAATTTAATTGGCGACCGGTTTCGAAGCTGTCACTTCATCATCAGGCACACCTTGACTATTTCCAGGTGTGCCTGATGATAAAGTGACAGCTTCGAAACCGGTTGTCAATTAAATTGACTTGTGAGAAATAAAGGACCTTTTCTTTAACCCCTTACACTTAATCCCTACTACTCACATATGGCTACCCTCATTCCAAAAAAAAAAAAGTTATTATTGGCGATAATCTCGGAAGTCACCTGTCTTTGAAAGTTTTACAGCTTTGTAAAACTCACAATATTCCCCCAACAGTACACATCTTCTTCAACCCCTTGACGTTGCTGTATTTCGATCAATAAAGGCAGCATGGAGAAAAATTTTAAATGAATGGAAACTGCAAAAACTGAATTTCCCAGATTGCTAAGAAAAACAATTGAATCGATCAATAATGGTGCCAATGTTTTAGCTGGTTTTAGAGCTTGTGGGATACTTCCTGTTAACCGAGAAATTGTTACAAAAAAACTTATTCCAAGAGGAGTTGAAACGGTGGCTACAGGAGCCTTGAATGATAGCTTTTCCGATATAATGGGGAATTTAGTTAGAGAAAATAGGACTGAAAAAAAAAACGAAACAAAAAAAATTGACATCCCTGCAGTAAAGGAATTTGCCCTGAATATTTACCCAAAAACAGTTTCATCATCAGGTTGCAATTCAGAAGCAAATATTGAAAATGAGGAAGAATTCGATCAAGAACTGGTCAATGCCGACCCTATTCCTTCTTGTAGTCGTCCTCAGCAAGATGTTGAAATTGCAGATACAACTATTGTAGATACAGCTGCGAGTTTTATCGCTTCCACAACTTACTGTAGATGATTTTGTGACTGTAAAATTCATTTATAACCAAAATTCAAAAAATGAGACCGTTAAAACATTTGTTGCTCAGATATAAAAAATTACAAAATCAAAAATTACAGTAAGTTGTATGAGATCCTATCGAGCAGCCTCTGATATTTTTATTTTTCCGAAAGTCCCTGATATTTGTGAGACGAAATTAGAGCAAATTGAACTTAAATTGCTGCCTCCTATTATTAAAAGGGGGCTCCACACCTTTGCGTGCCTTACATAAGCCCAATTTATTACCTACTATTTATACTAGAATTTGTTTTTTTTATGTTTTATATTTTGAAATGTTTTATGTTAAGTTTGCCAGTAAAACTGAGTAACTAGTTCCTAAAGAAATGTGTTATTTTGTAATATTTTGTTAATAAAATGTTAATATGGAACGGTTCTTTTATTCATTAATGAGAGATGTAAAAGACATAATTTTAAATCCGCGCTTTTTTACAATATTTGTGAGTTCCATATAACTCTTCTATGAGGGTATAAATGGATCAATTTACTAAAAATCTAATTTTAATATTAAAAATAATTTTCGTTCCATATATCCACCAACCTTGGGTTATATAGAACGGTAAAAAGTAAAAAAAAAAAAATATATATATATGTGATTTTTTTTTCAACATTTTATGTAGAGAATGTTAAGGACTTTGTAAACCCCTCCTACCTAAAATAAGTACAAAAATAATATACAGTACACGTACTAAAATACAAAGCAATAAGCGAAAATATCATTCCATATATACCCGTTTTACGGTATACCTACAAAATTTCAGCGTTGTATAACTTTTAGTTTTTCCGAATTTCTTGACCTACCACCGCATGCCTTTAAGCGCGTTTCAGTCATACAGTATTCGCGTTAAAAAAACACCCTTTGTCGAACATGCAGTAGACTAAATTTCAAAATCATTTTCATGATTCATTGCCATGATTCACAGTCCTTTTATTAGTGTTTTCTTTTTTCTGTATTATTTCCTGAATAATGAAAATCATATTTATTTTATTATGTATTTATAAACATTAAAAGGATAAAATATAAAGAAAATTAAACAAACAAAACTCAAAAATAATGAAAAATAAAATCAAATAAAAATATTTCAAAAAGTTAAGTATTTAAAAAATTGTGCACAAATGCTTAAAAATTATTATCATTTACTTTTTCTATTAAATATTGATATCAAATACCATCAGCAGTTAATAATTTTTTCCTTTGTGCAAAATTTTTCAGAAAAAGAAAAAAAAAACAAATGAAATCCTAGATGTTATAAAATAAAAACAAAAAAATAATCAATTGAAAAAAATATGTTCATTCGATACTAAAAATTCCTTGATTTCAGTAAAAGTTGGACGACTGTCAGGATCATCGATGCATATTTTATGTATTATATAGTTAAACAGACCTGTTGGACAATTTGATGGGCGCTTGAACCTAAAACATAGGACAATTATAAAAAAAATTATATAAAGTTAACGTCTAGTGATTAGCAATGATCAAAATAATGTTACTTTTTAAACAAAGGTTATTCAAAATTTAAAAAAACACTATATATTTCTAAGAAGCGCATATTCCTCTTGAAAAATTAAGCAAAGTCTTTGAGAGTAGTGACTTGTCTGTAAGGGCTGTAGGACTGTAGGGCTACAGCCCCTGGTGAAAGCCGCTCCTTGTGAGCATGCAGTGCATGCCCCGTACGCAGGCGCCAAATTCTGTTGGTATCCTGAGGAAAAAAGACTCGAGAGAAAACCCCCCTTTCTTGAAAAAAAGACGTTACTCTCGAGAAAAGAAGACTCTAGACAAAAACCACCTTTCCGGGAAAAAACACGTTAGTCTCAAGGAAAAAAAGACTCGAGAGAAAACTACCTCTCGAGGAAAAAAGACTCGAGATAAAACTAATTCTTGAGGAAAAAATTTGAGAAAACCCCAATTCTCGGCGAAAAGGATGAGACATAAAAAGCAAGTGAAAATTTAGAAAAATGCCCATTATGTAAAAACGAATAGAGATAAAAAATTGAACCTAGATCTATCGAAAAGAGAATAGAATTTTATACAATATAGTGTTCTTAACATAGATTTAAAATGAAACGTAATTTTAGTTAAAGGGTGAGATATTAAAAAACAAGTGAAAATTTGGAAAAATCCCTATTATGTAAAAACGAATAGATATAAAAAATTGGTAAAATGATTATGTACAAAAACGATTAGATAAAAAATTGAATATAGACCTATTGAAAAGAGAATACATTTTTATACAAGATGGAGTTTCCTTAACATCGATTTAAAATGAAATGGAATTTTAATTTAAGGGAGATACATAAACAAACAAGTGAAAATTTTAAAAAATACCAATTATGTAAAAACGTATATAGATACAAAATTAATACTAGAATTATTAAAAAGCGAATAAAATTTTATACAATATAAGTAGATGAGATTAGCAAGTTCTGCACCAAGGTCAGAGGTACAGTGAGAGGAAATTGGGTAATTAGTAATTATCCTAAGTACTCACTTCCCACCCTTCGGGCAATTAACAAGTACCTCCCAATTACTATCATGTAGTGTCATAAGTGTAATTGCATAGCATAATTGCGTAATGTAATGTTACCTCTCATTACTCCATATACATAGAGGAGTAAGTACCCCTCAGAGAGTATTTACTATGTATATCATGTAGGGTGTGACGAGTATAGTAAGTACCTATACTCATCGAAGTGTAAATACCTCTTAGATAGTAATTACTATGTGTATCATGTAATGAGTTTAGCCTAAGTGCACCCCAGTGATTGCTATTGTGGCATAGGAAAAATAAGTCTCATGTCTAAACACATCCTTAACTCTCAACCGTCATAGCTAGAGTGAAGCGGTAGTTTTCCGCAGACACGCGCGACGTAAACACTGGTGGAAGGGGTAGAACCCCACCCTTCAAGCATCTTCAGACTTATATATTATGAATAGTGGAGGAAAGCATAGGAGAGATGGGAATTTTTAGAAGGGGTATAGCGTACATATCCAAATTAAATCAGTTTAAAATCGTGAGTTTTAAGAGTATTTAGAAGTTCCATTACCTACCTAATACCGAAATCAGAGATTAGGGACATAAAGATAGGAAACGCAAAGACCGCAGCAACGATGGCGTCAACTATGCGTCTCAGATGTTAACTAAAAATATACGTCGTTTGCAGACAGACCAGTGTTGCCAAATATTTTTTTAAGAGATCGTACAAGTAGAGTAGAAAAATGGTACAATAGGTACATGCATAGCATAATATAGCTTAAATAGAATGAAAAAATGAAAAAACAAAACTTTATAAAAATGTTTACAACGAAAAAAAAAACTAAAGAAAATACATGAAACTTTAAATTAATACATAAAGTAATTAATGACTGTCATTTAAAAGTGATTGAAATTTTGCATGTAAGCTTTTCTTATGCCGTGATAGTTTGTGCTGGTACAAAATCACCATGGTTAAAATCACGATAAGTGAGAATGAAAATGACTGCCTTCAGAAAGTACGAACGGCCTATGAATCTTTGCAAGTAGTTTTTAATTTTTATTGTTTTAGGTTCTGAGGTTGTTGCAAATATTTAAATAAACCTACTAAAAAGTAAAGATCATATTTTTACGTACGATCTCACTGATGCAATCGTACATCGTACAGAGAGTTAAAAAATCGTATAAATACGATTTAAATGATATTGTTGGCGTTGGCAACACTGAGACAGACAGTAGACGTGGACAGCAGTGGACAGTTTGTAAATGTAAATGTCAGTTAGTTTTATGTATATCAAAGAATCTTGAATTGATTGTTATCCTGTACATGAACTAAGTGAAATAGTTGTGGCTGTTTTTGTATGAAATTTGAGGACAATAATTATATTTTGTAACATTACAATAAGTCGGAGAACGTATTGCATTAATAAGACATGCCACATGAAGAAATTTAACACACTTCAATGTGGCGTTCTTTAATTAACCAAAGTAAGATCTAGTCATGTAAGTAACACAAAAAGGAACCAACTTTTGTCACAAAGTAGGTATTTATGTATTATTTATTGTTTTAGAACAACAAAATGGCTTCAAAACGTTAGAAAGATATCTGAATTCCCATTATCGAGTTTGCATTCAAAATTTTTAAATATACATCATTGGCATTTGTTTGGAAAATAAAAACAAAAATGTAGTTGCAAATAACGATTGAAAATTAAAAAATATTTGTCAAGAATAGATTTACAATAATAAATCGATAATAGACTGTAAGTGTAGTATTCTTTTTAATAAATAGTTTAGCGTAATTACATTGTTTAAATTTATTTACAAGAACATGAGAATGGAGTCGATATTTATATAACCTTTCTTATCAGGTTTTTAAATTCCCCGCTACATTGTTTGATATCGATAAAAGCGCCACATAGTGGGTCAGATGTTAACTGCGTTAAAGCTGGTCGTTGTTAAGCATTGGCTTCTTATGAGCGTTTCTTATCTTTATCTCCCTTATCTCTGACCAAAATAATCTTAAAAATATTAGACATGTATAAGTGTAATTGTGGATAGATAATTTACATCGACATCAAAATAAAAGTTGTAAGCTGATATCTAATAGAATTGGTGAAACATCCAGAGGAACGAAAAGATCTGCCACATCCAGCCCTGATGTTCTACCCGTAAAAATGTCCGGGTAGTGCGAGTTCCACAAGTACATACACATCGCACTGTAGACTCACAAAGGCACAATGGGAGATATGAACCATGTGATATAGACATCCCTACCAATTAGATGTCATCGCATATTAGGAGTCTTGACCATAAAGAAAAAGCCTGCACAATTTAAGCTGATGGTATATATTTAATTCAGAGTGCGTTTAAGTGCAGAATCGCAAGTTACAGAGTCAAAAGTAAAGAAAAACATATAGATTATATAACATTTTTTGATGCGATAAAATTACCACCTCCATGGAACGACCTAGATATGCAATTATTGGATTTCAAAATACCAATTTTACTGAGAATATGCAAGAAGATGTGACGGTGTTTACGGCTGCTGATATAAGCAATATTCCGAAGTTTACCCATTAGAGCGTTGGAATTTAGATGTTGGGAAAAAGTTGGATATTCTTGCTTATTATGCTCATGAAAATTTTCAGAGAATAAAAAAAAGGAAAATCCTCAACCAATGTTAAGCCTTGCTGGGTTTAGAAAGAATCGTCTATTTGTAATTGATTGCAGTATGTGCCCAAAACCAATCAAATAAATCTTCAACTAGGGATGTTACGGTTGAATTCGAAACATGGTAAAAAGCTCTTATAAGTTGTAATGCATTAAATGGCACTGTACACACTGAATATATGCCGCTGTAATTCATATTCTTTAATTTAATATATTTGAAATTACACTTGTGTTCTCACTTATAACAAAAATAATAATATGTAATCTTTTTTAATTAAAAAACATTAAAACTATGTATACTGTTTTATTTGTATTTTAATTACACCTATGGATATATTATTTACACATACAGATACATAAGTAATCCCTAATCGGTTTCATCATCTGTCTGCGGTTCGTCACCCAAACCATGTTTGCTCCTCATTTTAGGGGTTATATATGGTAAGGTATCTACCAAGAAATTTTTCACACCTAGGGTAACCATCTTCTCAGAAAACGTGTCCAAATCCATCTCACATGTCCCACATTCGAGGCCTTCACTGTCTTTCTCACACCTCGCATTTTGATAGGCTACAACTTCCAAGTCTACTTCTTGTTGATTTTAAGTCAATAGCTTTAGGCCAGTGCTCAGCGGAATACATCATCCACATATCGAAATAATCTGAAACAATGGGTGAGTCGGGAGGAGCGCAACAAACTCTAGGAGTATATTATACACGTGAAAATAATGTGAAAAAACTCATATGTTCTTATCCGATTTTCATTTGTTTTCAAGTTATGGCGTAATTAAAAATGTTCATCTAGCTTTCCACTTCTGAATTTTAACATTATCAAAGTATGCCATATGTTCAAGGCTCAAAGGCATTTGATAATTCTGACGTTTTGATGAACTGTCAGTGTACAGTGAACAGTAACTGAACGTTTAATTTCGAATTTATGTGATTGTTAGTGTTGAAAAATGCCAGATACTTATTCAAATTTAGAATATGCAAATATGGTGTTTGTTTATGGTTTCTGTAATGGAAATGCTACAGCTGCTGCTGAAGAATATCGTCAACGTTTTCCACACCGAAGACATCCTGATAAAAACGTATTTATTAGTTTTCAACAAATTGTGCGAGAATGGTAAGCTTCCCAGTGCTTTCAGAACATCTGAACGCGCTACTCGACAAGCTTTTGTAGAAGTAGAAAATATTCTGCATCTAGTAGAAGAAGATGCAATTACTAGCTCACGGAGAACTGCCACTCAATTGGGAATTCCACAAAAAAGACTGATAAACACACTCCACGAGCAAGGCTTATATCCTTATCACGTACAGAGTACAGCACCTACAACCACAGGATTACGCTAACCGTATGGAGTTTTGTCGGTGGATAAATAATAATCATCGTGTTGTATCGAGTATACTCTTTACGGATGAAGCTACATTTACCCGTGATGGCATTAATAATACTCGTAACTATCATGTATGGTCAGACGAAAATCCCCACGCAACAGTCAAAAGCAATTTTCAACATCGGTTTTCTGTAAACGTGTGGTGTGGTATGGTTGACACTTATTTAATTAGCCCTTTCATTTTGGAGAATCGTCTCACAGGGGACAACTACCTCAATTTTTTACAAAATTAATTACAAGGCCTGCTAGAGGATGTTCCTGTAAATATTAGAATGCAGATGTACTATCAGCACGATGGAGCTCCTGCACATGTCGCTCGTCAGGTCAAGCATCATTTGGACGAACGTTTTCCAGGGCGTTGGATTGGTCGTTGAGGTCCTATTAATTGGCCTGCAAGATCTCCAGACCTCACACCATTAGATTTTTGTTTATGGAGCTGGATGAAAAATGAAGTCTACAAAATAAAAGTGGACACACGGGATGCACTAATTAGACGAATTGAGAATACTGCAGCCCTTATTAAAGAAGAAAGAAATGAATCAATTAGGAGAGCAACAAACGCTCTTCGTAGACGAAGCAGAAAATGTTTAGAAGTCAATGGCGGTATTTTTTAACATTTATTGAAAGAACGCTATGATTAAGAGAATTTTTATGTGTAAATTTGTTTATTTGTTAATATGCTATAACTTGAAAACAAATGAAAATCGGATAAGAACATATGAGTTTTTTACATTATTTTCACGTGTATAATATACTCCTAGAGTTTGGTGCGCTCCTCCCGACTCACCCGCATAGCTGTTATTAAAGGGATAAATGTAGGTCAAGTTATACTTACAATAAAATTGTAGAAATTCTTAATGAAATAATGTATATACTATACGTAATTAAAAGTAAAAAAATATTTACAGTGGCTCTACCACAGATGAATTAATTGTTTGCTGGCCAACTAAATAGAATCTTATAGGGGACCTAGTAGTTGATCCATAACACGGCGCTTCCCCTAAATAGACCAACGCATATTGGACGGTAACAGCATTAATCGTAGCAATGTCAGGCAACATTATTTCAAAAATGCGCCTCGGCAACCAACACTGGAAAAGCTCAAGTGAAAACGGATCAATTAAATGAATAAGTAAACATTTACCATATCTTGTATTTTTGACAAATATCGCCCTAATAATATAATGTTGACTTACAACTAATAACTTTAATTCCCGCTGATCCAATATTGTGGGCCTTACTATGCTCGTTACACATTATATGATATACATAGTAAATACTCCCCGAGAGGTACTTGCACTAAACAGAAACATAAAATGTATGCAAGATTAAAAAAAACTACTTATATGAACAACAACAAAGTGTATAGCAAACAAAACGCAAACGTAATTTATATATTTATTTTCCTATTAAGATATTATCAAACTCCAAAAACAAAGATATGCATACCTACCTACATATATTTTCAATTTAATTTAGCATTGGTTATTTCTGTCATAAAAAATATGACACCAATAGAGTTTACAACCCTGATGCCTTTATTAAGTCTATTACATTTAAAACAAATAAAAAATTGTTTTACTTACATACAATTAAATAGCATAAACATTAATTCAGTTTCATACATATATTTGGACTGTTCTAAAAAATACATCTCCCACATTAACAATCCCATCGCCCAGACATCTGATTTAGTGGTAAAACATTGGGTTACTCTTGATTCCGGAGAAGTATTGTGATTTTGCAGTTCACCCATCTGAAAATTAGAAATAGATACCTACTCCATAAATTCCTTAATTACCCATTAAATATCGATAAAGATTTAGCCTAAGCCTGTTAAATTTTTTAGAATAAGAGCCGAATCCGCGCGATTCGCATCCACGCGAAGCAACCGCGAGTATCTTATTTACTTGAAGTCTATTTGTTCAGATGATGCTAGTGTGAACAACTAGCTAAACTAATCTAGGAATAACGGAATAACACGAAAAAAAAAACTACGAGAAAAAAGGTTGGATGTGGTTATTCAAACGCGGCATAAATATCCACATCCGATGCATTTTTTACATCTCGAGCGTTTGTTTATCCACATCGGACACATCTACTACATCTACGTTTGTTTATCCGAGATGTAGCTGTCAGATTACATTTTTACATCTCGATTTGAAATGAGATGTGAACTTAGATTAAAGAGACCGAAGATGTAACATTGCACACTGCGCATGTTGTCTATTTTAACCCCAAGTAACCCACCAATTGAAAATCATTGTTTGCACGACGCCACCCGAATTGCTCCGATTTTTCCATTCAACGCTCACCTCCACCTGAGTTTAATCACCATTGACCGCTGTTTTTTTGATTTATTTGTTGGTGATTTAGCAATTTAAAGTGTTCTAGTTATTCAATTTTAAGTTCAAAAATGCCACGGTGTGTCTTGAAAAATTGTATATACTTATAATACAAGTACCAATGTTTATTAACGTTTTGACATAAAGCGCCATGATTCTTTGGGCTGAATACTTCAGATCCGCATTAAGGGGGTTTCAATAAATATTAAGCATCAAATACATATTTCAGAAAACAGATTTCATATTCATCGGGACGGTGGTGTAGCGGTCTATCGCGCTTATATTCATTTATAGGCAAGTTTATGAGTCTGAGACTGCTGGGTTTCGAATCCCAGCCCAGACCATGTGGATTTTTAATTAAATTGCATGGTTCGGTTTAGGATTTGATGTGTGGCGTATTAATAGAAATTCAATTTCTGTTATAACATGCAGATTAAAAAAATTCGCCATACATTACCGTCTCGATGATGGTGGGTGAGGTTTTCCTCACCTGTAAGTCAAATGGCACCATCAATCATCTTTAAGTCGCCCCGGAGCACCACGGCAAATAATAATAATAATAGCCGTCCCTTCTCCTACACAAGTCGTTCAGTCGACTTCAGGGGTTGAAATTCACTCGTAAGGGGGTGAATTAGGGAGAGTATTATTATTATTATTACTTACATAAATTTATAAAAGGGTAAAATGTTTAACATTTAATTTAAATAAGAAGTAAATAGGCATTGTTGCTAACGAAATTTTGTTTTTAAAAAGTAGTTTTATAAGAATATTTACTAAAGGTGGTTTTTAGCCCTTTTATATATAACCCTTTTTTAGATAAATAAGAAGTAAAGAGGCATTTTATTTTTATAAGGTATTTTTATAAGAATATTAGATGAAATACAGGAGTCCTACTTAAAATTTCAAGGTTCATCTTATTTGTGGTCAAATCGAAAGTCACATTTGAATCTTAAGTCTTAAAACGAAGTAAAACGCACAATATGATCTAATATAAGCAAAAAAAGTACTAAAGTTACGGGAGTTAGTCACATTGTTAATAAAATGTTACATTATAAACCTCTAAACAACTCGAACAAAATTTTCGTTTACTAAAAAAATCCAAAATCTATTATTTATTATACAATCGAATGCGGTTTCAAAGATAACGGGATCAAAAAATCCGAATCTCTAAATTTTGGAGCTAAATGCTCGGATAGAAGCAAACGACCGATAGGGGTTACATAAATAATCGATTTATTGATTATTCTGATATTTTTATGAAAATCGATTTATCCGTTATTTTTAATAAATTATTTGTGTTTATTTAAGATAATGTAATAATCGATTTTAAAGGAAATACAAAAAGAAAGTAGATTTATTCAAAATAATCGATTGATTTTTTTGGAAAAATTGATTTATCGTTTAATCGATTTTTTTAATTAATCGATTATTTTCAATTTTTCAAAGGTATATAAAAATAATCGATTGATCGAATTTAATCGATTATTTTATATCACCGATATTTCGGTTATTTTTTAGAATTATCAATTTATCGGTTACTCAGCTTTTTATTAATCGATTATTTTCGATTTATCGATTATTTTGGATTTTCAAAGATAATAGAATAATCAATTTTAAAGGAAATACGAAAAGGATTATTAGAAAATAATCGATAATTCGGTTATTTTTTTGGAAAATAGATTTATCGTAGAATCGGCTTCTTAATTAATTGGTTATTTTCGATTAAGCGATTATTTTAGAATAATCGATTATTTTCGGTATTTCAAAGATAATCGAATTATCGATTTTAAAAGAAATACAATAAAAATAAATTATTATCAAAAATATTCGATTATTTAAAATAATCGATATTTCGTTTTTTTTTTTTTTGTTGAAAGTCGATTTATCAGTTAATAGACTTTTTAATTAATCGATTATTTTCGATTTTTCAAAGATTATCGAATAATCTATTTCAATGGACGAAAAAAAAAATGAGATTATTTGAGAATAATTGATTACTTAAAATAAACGATAATTCTTTTATTATTATTTGTGAACACTGATTTATCGGTTAATTGGCTTTTTAATTAATCGATTATTTTTGATTTTTCAAAGATAATCAAGTAGTCGATTTTAAAGGAAATCCGAACAAAAATAGATTGTTTGAAAATAATCGATCAATCGAAAATAATCGATTATTTTCAATGATCGATAATTTATTTCGATAATCACCCACCCCTAGCGACCAAATGACTTTTAATAGGTTTAAATTTTAAAATATTAATTAATATTCCTAAAGAAAGAAGCTGAGGTTACAATACAAAATAGCATTTTCTCATTTCGACTAATTTTTAATATTATATAATAGCCGTAGAAAAAATATAATATTCAACTTACAAGGTTTGACTTGCAGTATTCGCTTGCGCACATGCTTTTGTTATAATACTCATAGACAATGAGTACCATTTCTTGCTCTATTAACAATATTCTATTTCAACATTTGTAGTCTCTTGCTGAAAAGTCCGTAGTAAATAAACGTTAATGAAATATTCTATAAAAGGTCTTCTCTTTACATAAAGTGTCGTAGCAACTGTTTGATATTAAAAAATCACGTTAATTTTATTTCATAATACAAAATTCCATTAAACATATATTTTAAAGCTAATAGTTCATTAAGATGCTAATAAAGTCCGGTCCCTGTCACAGAGTTCGGGTCTCTGCCCAGTTCCCCCACTCCGTTAACCTTTCTTTAGAAATTGGCAACATTTGCGCAGGTTAAACACCGGTGTATGTTATATCTCTGGTCTCTTTTATCTAAGGAGTGGCGTAGGTGTCTAACGCGTTCGTATTCATTTGCGAGGAATTTTGTGGTAAGAGACACATTGGCTTCGAATCAAACAGAATACCATGGGAATTTATTTGCATGGTTTTCATCTCTAGGATTTGATGGATGCCGTATTAGCAGAAATTTAATTTCTATTGATAATGATGGGTGGGGTTTGTCGCGTTTTTCTAACCTGTAAGTCAAATGGTACCATCAATCATCTTTAATAAGATGCCTCGGAGCGCCACGGCAAATATTAATATCCGTCCCTCCTCCGGACAAGCTCAGCTTTTGGGCTAAAAATTCACTCGTAAGAGATTACTATTATTAATTATTGTTATTATTATATTATTATATTATTATATTATTATATTATTATATTATTATATTATTATATTATTATATTATTATATTATTATATTATTATATTATTATATTATTATATTATTATATTATTATATTATTATATTATTATATTATTATATTATTATATTATTATATTATTATATTATTATATTATTATATTATTATATTATTATATTATTATATTATTATATTATTATATTATTATATTATTATATTATTATATTATTATATTATTATATTATTATATTATTATATTATTATATTATTATATTATTATATTATTATATTATTATATTATTATATTATTATATTATTATATTATTATATTATTATATTATTATATTATTATATTATTATATTATTATATTATTATATTATTATATTATTATATTATTATATTATTATATTATTATAATATTATATTACTATATTATTATTCACAGACTTCAAAAAAGGAGGCTCTCAATTCGTCGATATATATTTTTTTATGTATGTTCAGCGACAATTCTTTAACACGGTGTCCGATTTCAATGATTCGTCTTTTTTTTGTTAGAAAGGGAGTACTTCAGGGGTGTTCCCATATAATTTGGTTAAAATCAAATAATTGGGTCTATAAGAAAATCCTCAAACTCTTCATTTTTTGTATGTTTAGCGACAATTATTTACCACCTTGTCCGATTTCTATGATTACTTTTTTGTTTCTAAGTGTATACTAGGGTGTTTCATTTTTGAGCAACTTTTTTTTTCAACTAAAAACAGGCTTAAAACTTTCAGGAAGGTGAATAAAGAAGCCTCTAAAAATTTAAGCTCTTAATATTATCATTTAGTGGTGCCTGTTCCTAACTTTCCATTTTCCATCTAAATAACATGGAAAAAAAATTTTTCTTTTTTCTTATTTTTGTAGCTTGACATTTGAGCATTTTAAAAATACAGTGAAAAATGAATTTGGTAGGAAATTGAACGCTCTACACAAAGTTCTAATTAATTTTTTTCATAGAGTGAGCCATTCTGAAGATATTCAAACTTAAAGTTGCAAATGTGTGAAATTAGGACTTTTATTTTATTAAACTAATACTGATGACTTTTTTATGTCTTAAAAATTGTTTTTAATCAGAAAAGTGGTTTTTTTGCGGTAATATTTTTAGAAAGCTAAAATAAAAAAATTACATCTTAGATATTATTTGATTATTTAATTAACTGTTAAACAAAAGTACTTATGAATTAGGTTCAGAAAAAATTATTATTTTATAGATTAAAAAAAACTTTTTAACAATTAGCATACTACAATTTTGAAACTAATAGATATTTTAATGTCTTATCAGAATTAAATGATGTAACTATATTTGTTGAAGTTTTTTTATTACAATTTGGATATTTTCGTCGGTGCTCCTTTACCACTTGTAATACATATTAAAATTGTTCCTCATCTTTAGTTAGGCATCTATTATATTCTTCTACTAATGTGACGCCATGTCCTGCAACGTCATTGACAACTTTAAATTTTTCGAAAAACTCCAAATTCTCTTGATAACTTTCATTATCTGGCCAAATTAGGACATCTGCATCCAGAAAGTATTTCTGGTGAATTTTTGTCTTCTGTGCGTCGTTATTTTATTTCTATATGAAAATAATCATGTTTTCTTAAAAATAATTTTTAAGTCATAAAAAAGTCATCAGTTTAATAAAATAAAAGTCCTAATTTCATACATTTGCAACTTTAAGTTTGAATATCTTCAGAACGGCTCGCTCTATGAAAAAAATAAATTAAAACTTTTTGTAGAGCGTTCAATTTCCTACCAAAATCATTTTTCACTTTATTTTTGAAATGCTCAAATGTCAAGCTACAAAATTAAGAAAAAAGAAAAAATTTTTTTCTGTTATTTAGATGGAAAATGGAAAGTTAAGAATAGGCACCACTAAATGATAATTGTAATAGCTCAAATTTTCCTGAAAGTTTTAAGCCTGTTTTTTAGTTGAAAAAAAAAGTTGCTCAAAAATGAAACACCCTAGTGTATACCGAATGTTTTAATAATTATTATTTATTTACGCAAGGGTCTTTTTATTCAATTATTGTTCCTACCTTTTCCTCGTAAACGCCGTTGTTGTAGCCCACAAAACAGCTCAATCCAAAATCGCCAACTTTACAGGACATCTTTGAATTTACGAAAACATTCTTTGTGGCCAAATCTCGATGTACAATTTGCTTGTCAGAGATATATTCCATGGCGCTAATTATTTGAATTATCCATGCGTAAAAATATTCTGTACAATCAGAGTGATACTAAAAGAGGGTTGGTTTTAAATAATCAAAAACATAGATAAACGATAATATAAAATAATAGAAAATAAGATTTTTTTTCTCTTATCTTCCAGTACAATTGATCACCCTGTGGTATCGCGTTATTCATACCTCTAGGTATTTGTTAGAATAATGTTTACCCAACATACCTGTCGCGAGGCTATCTTCATTTCGTATTGTAAAAAATAAAGGTACTTTACTTTTGAGTAAAATTCATATTTTTTTGTCGAACCTCGTATACGTCTTGATAAAATTGATATCTAATGATTGTATTGTAGGTTTTAGACCATGCAGAACTTTTTATCAAGAATAATTTTTATATTCCTTTACTCAATGCTCCAGTGTTGGGCAACATTTTGGTGAACTTTGCAATATCAAAAATACCAAATCAGACTATAAAATCTCGGAAATACCCCAAGTCCATTCACTTTCTTTATTGTTTAAATGTAAAATAGATGAAACAAAAAGTTACTAGAATTTATCACGTCGTATAATAATTACATCATGCTATTATGTTAGGTGGCAGTTATCAAAATAATTTTGAATTTGTTAAAAATTTGTATATTTTGATAATTCCAATTTTTTTTATAAGTATTCAACAAAATGGTGAAACGATTTAGTGATCAATCAAAAACGTAGTTTCCTATTTTAAGAGACACAAATCTATTTACGAGGCTCTATAAAGAGGTACAATCAAATGGCTGCAGATGCATTAAATATTTCGCAGAAAACGATAGACTTAGAAACCAACAAATTCTGATGCAAAGTATTTGAAAATAATGTCTAGAAAAGTAAGCCAAAGTTAAACAATAGTCAATTCTCTAATATTAATTTAGTTGAGACAACTTATATACAGAGCTGTTGTAAGTACCAAGAAAAAGTACTTAAGTACAAGTATAAGTAAAAAATAAAATACTTAAAATATCAAGTAAATTGACTTGAATTTTAGTACAAGTACCAAATTCCACGAAAATCAGAATCAAGTTTAAGTATTTACTTAAAATGATATTTAAGTACAAATACTTTTAAATATATTGTATTTTTTATTTTAAGCAATGATCATATTTTAAACTAACAAATTAAATTGTTACTTATTGATCATCTTAATGGGATATATTCAATAAAGGCGGTATATCTGAATAATGAAACAAGCGTTTTTGTTTGTTTTTTTTTTTTTGTTAATAACAGGATTAACAAAAACAAATGACTAAAAATAAAATAAACTGTCCTACATAATTTAAACAAAAAACATCGTTGCTTGTTGCTTCGTAAGCATAATACTTAAATTCAACCTTTAACTATGGTAAAATAAGTTATTTTTCAAAATTACCGTCACTGACGTTCTTCGTTACCTCCGTTGGTCATTCCTCTATACTTGTCGAAATAATTACCCAAGAGGGTACAACCTGTGTATATCTAGAATAGAATCAAGTTAAATAAAAATATAAACATCAACACAGTAGTTAACCAACTGGCGAATTGACGCTGTTCGTTAACTCCGTTGGTCATCAAGCTAAATAAGAACATAAACATCAACAGTAGTTAACCAACTGGCGAATTGACGCTGTTCGTTAACTTCGTGGGTCATCAAGCTAAATAACATATATTTTGATAGCAAATGAACGTGGTCTGCGTTTGAACGGGACTCAAGTGAGATCTCAGTAAATAGTTCACATTAATTGTAATATACTTTGCTAATTATTGAATCACATTTAAAAGTATGAAAAATAAAAGAGTTTAAATATAAATTTGTCTGGTTTTATTTATCAATTTGCACCAAACTTTGCATCGAATCCTGGTTTATCTAAATTAACATTATCACAACGTGGATATATAAATTATCAATTAATTAACTGGACGATCACTACACTACTAGAGGAAAAAAACAAATTCAGTAAGTATAGAATTTAAAGTAAAACAATATTAAGATGTAAATAATAAAGATATCAGACGTAAAAACAACGATCAAAATGGGGTACCGGGGGGGTGGTTGTCACAGATTCAAGCACTGAAATATTCTCAGGGCTCAGGTTCTATTAAAAAAAAAAAGAAAAACATGGGACTGGTGTTCAGTTTTTATGATTCGTACGTATGTACATATTATACGAGTATAAGTTCTGTCATTCCGCCATTTGACTCTGATTCGACTTTGTGAGTTTGTGGTTGATTAATATGAATTTTTTGCAGTCTGTACGATTTTCTCTGGGGTGGAAGTTTTTCAATGAATATTACAAAGCTAAAAGGTTAGTGAATTCGTAATGCCTAGCAGGGCAAACTTATACAAACAGATTGAATTTTTATATCGATCAGCCTTTCATTTTAAATAAGCGATTATATTATTGTCAGGTTCAGCTGAGAAGCCAAATCAAGAAAAGAAACTGAACTACTGTCAATCCAGGCATGGTTGAAAAGGCCAAAGTAGAGAAGAGACGGGATCAAATCGACGAAAAAGTTTTTAATAATTATTCATAGGTTATTTGCTTCCAAATAATTTTTTTTTAAATATTCATTATTTTAACTAATTTCCTTAAACATTCTGTATTTTTCTATTGGAGCTTTTAAAAATGTCCATGGAATGTTCTTAAGACATGTCCTGATTATTAACAATGGACGTTCCAAACACGACCACGTCCGTGAAATGGACGTTGTAAAGATGTCCTAAATGTTCAAGCAAGACGCTTTTAAAACGTCCATAAAATGTATTTATTTGTGCTATCTGGGAAAACGCATCTGAAATAAGAAGACACGTGCAAACTATAACTAAAAATGCGATATTCTTTGTCAGAGGACTTGGGGGTATTTCTATCACTTTAAGTACCTACCTACTATTAATAATTTAAATTATTTTTGTTGAAAATTTCAATCAAATAGATGTTTGTTGAATGATAGTCATAAGAATTTATATTTAAAAGATTAAACGAACTTACCTTAAGTGAAGTTCAATCTTAATTATATGTATAGGTTCCGTTGAAATAAATAATCTTTTTCTATATCCACATAGATATTAGCTTATCTACAAAACGAAAAAATATGTCATTGCGTTCAACTGAACGAATATGTTTTATATCCATTCTAGGTAGTGAGAACACTGCAAAAAAATTAAATCCACCAATCACAGTTTATATTTTGGACACCCAACTACTATAATTTAAAAAATTTTAATAAGTGACAATTCTGTCAAACTAATTGTCAGTATATTTTTTAGTTATTGAGATTAAATATACTTAAAATGAGTTATTTTTATGTAGAATCGATAAATAGTTTTAAATAATAGCATTTTTATTTTTATTAGGACGATATTTTGAAAAGCCGGTGATCGAATCTTGGCTAACATTTTTTTCATGTTTATTTTAAAAATCGGTAAAAATTCATAAGTTATTTTAAAATTAGTTATTTTGTCTTAATAACCTAATATATTTTTTTAATTTGTAGATTTTCATTAGTGGGTCGTAGGAAAAATATACTGTACAACTCGAGTGGATTATCCATGTCGTCTTCGTGCGATATGGCCATATCTGTATCTGTAACGTGTGGAGGGTGGGTTACCCCCACGGCACTTAGGCCTCATTAGGCCCATTGTGCATCCTCCTGAGATGATAGGCACCTCCTAGCACCTGAGCTGGTTTTTGGTATCACAATTTATTTCAATTCAACTTTACAATAACTCAATTCAACTTTAACAATAACGATACAACTGATAACATTAACATGTAACGTCTATCATCAAACTAAAACTCTGACGTCAGGTCGTCGACTTATATAGCTTGCTTGACCTTCTCGACCTGTCATCTAGAATGTTCTTGACAGGTAATGACATTTCTGGACATTTCTGGAATATTCTATCTTCTTTTACTTGTACTTTTACTTATGACGACCGCAGCCACTTATTTTTCTATCTGTACGTTTCCTATGATAGCCGCAGACTACTGCAGGGTGATGCGCAAATATTAAGGGGAGTGAAACTAAGAATGACATCCATGACTCGGGTCGGTGTGGTTTTCATTGTACCTGTTTAAATGTGTTCTAGTTTGCGAATAGCTGTCAATTGTTTTCGGTACCCAGACAATTGAACCGTACGTAAGCATAGTTCTTATGATGGCCATGTAAGTCCATGCGACGACTCTAGATGAGAGACTCCCGGTGCCCCCACGGTTCGACGACATTGTTAAGCAATATATGCTTTTTTACTCGGTTTTACTCTTTTATAAATAAAAATAAAGTATACTACAATAACCCCCAACAAATCTTTTGAAGATATGTATTCAAAGTGAAAAAAAAAATTAAAAAAACACGGTTATTTCCAAATCATATAAGCAAATGTCAGCCGCATCTGAAGTCAATATAACCCTTACACAATTTTTAAAAAGATTTTTTTTTCAAATTTACTAATTACTATGATCAATCGGCATTGGATAACCGTCGAGTATTGTTAATAGAAGCTGAAGCAGAGAAGTATGTAAATGTTAGGCTATTTCATTTTGCCAAACAAATATTAAATAAATATGAGCATAAGACATCACAATAATGAGATAGTTTTGTATAAAGGTCAATAATTTTTTATTTCTTAAAAACTCGTTTTTTTGCTCCCCCTTTAATTCTGTTACAATCTTTAAAAAACGCATTGCCAATTCATATGACCCCAGTTAAAAAAAATATATATTATTCAAAATATGTTAAAATTCTTATAATTTTAGAGAGTTAGGACCTGACGAGGCATCCATATTGTTACGACTCTAAGCCACGCCCAGTGCGACGTTTTATCTCTGTGCAAATACTTATAGCGTTTCTTTATAATATTACTTCAATGTAATATTTATATTTGGGTTAAAACTTTGGTAGGTAGAATTTAAATGTTTTAAAATCAAATATCAGCATTTGAATATTAAAAAAAAATACCTTAATTTTTATTTCAATACATGAGATTATGTTAGGTATTTTGAAATAGCTACGAAATGTCTTATTTTATGTAACGAGTGAATATTTGTGGGAAGAGTAGAGTGAAGTCCCCTAACATAAATAGTTGCATCAAACGGCATTTTGTAACGCATTAAATACAATATTTTTTTCTAATTTTGACTAGATTACTTATAAAATTGTGTTTTGGTAAAACATTACTGACATCTAGGCAACCAATATTACTTGTTTGTATTGTTAGTTACATATGCATAATTTTATTGTCAAATAGTGTGTTTATATTAATTAAAGTTATTTAGTTTTTTAAAGTCGGTTAATTTTCCATGTATTGTGTTTTAATTATTTTGTGCTCAGTTAGAATGTAAAATAAGAACCAAAACAACATTACTACTAGGGCAAATTCTAGTTTTGCTTCACAATGTTCAACCAAAGATATCGAATAATAGATACGCCTTGTTTACATTGAATTTGTCCGCAACATCTTTTTGATGCTTTTCCGATGTTGTCAGATCTCTTCCATCAAATATCCTGCATTAAATCTTTATTAAAAAATTTACTTTCCTTTAATATAATCTACTTATAAAAAGTAAAATAAAGAATTGAAAGCATAAATATGAGTTTTTATTCATTACAATCACTTAGGATTTGTATTTATCATCTTTTACAAGTTTATCGTATGTGAATATTAAACATTCTGGTTCATAACCTTTAAGTTTGGCAACCTAAGATATGTAGTTGACGGCGTCAAGTGAAGGCTTAATTTTAATTGTGCTTTTTTGTATTTTTTTGAGATTTTCGAGAATAATTTGAACATTGAACTGTTTAATAAGGACATTTAGGATGGTGAGGAAATGTATAGTGTGCCAAACTATTTGTAATAAGAATGTTATGTGCTCATTTTATAGTTGAAGTTTTGTTAGCATAAACGGGGTCATATATGGGGAATAAGGCTTGATTTATTTAACATTTTAAAGGCATGTATAAAATGGTCGTGCAATCTAAAAGGTATGTTTTGGTAAGATTCTTTTTATATATTTGTCTGAAATAAAATTGTTTTATTGATTTTAATAAGTTTTTATTTCATAAAGAAAGGTAGTTTTGACAATAACGATATAAAAACTAGAATGAAGATATAATAATTGGCATTCTATATTATACTGTTCACAGTTTTTAACAGACCACGTTAACCCCCTTTTCAATCAGATTTTTTTTTAAGAATCCCCTCATGAAGCTTGATTTTTACTGAAGATTTCAATTTGAAATTGTTTTCTGTTTCTGAGTTAGGTTTTGGTTTCAATATTTCAACCTTCCTTATCTCCCCATTTTTATTTATTTATTCATTCCCTTATAAATCTTGATTTTTACTGAAATTTTGAAGTTTTTGACTTATCGTGCGGACAAAAAAACGTGACATGGGACGGACGGACAAAGTAAAATACTCTTTACAGACAAAAGTGTGAAGAGTATAATAATAATAATTAATAGCGTCATATTTTTATTTGCTATTTATGTATTTTTTACAATGATCTAGAATAACAAATTCGTAATTCAGCACTTTCAAATCAACGACGTACAACTACTAGACTAATTTTGTTAACAAAAATCGAATTGCAAACATTCACGGTGTTATCCATATAGTCTCCTTATTAGAATGGATATAAAATTATATACGTTCAGTAGAACGTAATGACCTACTTTTTCGTTCCGTAGTATGTACATAGAATAGATAATATCCATGTGGGTGTAAAAAATAGACAGTATTATGCGCAAGTATGTACATAGAAAAGTTCTACTTTTCTATGAACATGTAGTCATTTACATAGCCGTAGAAAAATACTAAATTGTATATCTTTTTAAAATAAAATAAAAAGTTTCACATACCTACCTAATTTAATCTTATATTAATAAAGCTACATCTCCGATAAGATACAATGTCATATCAGGAGAAAAAATACATTTAACTTCAACTTTTTTTAAATCATACTCTTGCAGTAATATAAAATTTTACTTACCATTAAAACTTCTCGTAAACTTTGGTTTTCCATAAATTCCATGACTAATTTCGTGGGTTTCTTTTGAAAAGCTATCATTTTAACAATGTTGGGATGGTCAAGCTGACTGTGTATTATTGCTTCTCGTCGTATACCTAGTTTATAATCTACTTTATTAGGTGATTTAACAGCCACAATTTTCTCTGAACCATTATTTAAACAAAAAGTTCCTTTTCTAATAATTCCAAAGCCACCCGCTCCTAAAAAGCAATATGGACGGAAAATATGTATTCCTCATTTCAATAGGTAATGTTTTAATGTATACCCAGATAGGACACTATCCCTGGCATATGCCACCAATCTGCCTATTTGCCAAAATATATTGCAATATTTATGAAATATTCACAGAATATATTTCATAGTCTACATTCTATGATAAAGACAACAATATTTTTGGACAGCTTAAAAAATAAAAAAGGTAGTGATCAATATCGATAAAATGACTTGGTTTCGTTTAAAATGGTTTTTTGGATTGGTTTATGGTTTTTTGACATGTACCGATTTAAATGAGAATAATTTATTGCAGTGTACTAGTATCAGTTGACAACAGTGTGTTGAAATTTGTGATCTTTTTTCTTCTGTATCTTATTAATTCATAAATTAGTAATGGAATTTATGCTTAATGCATATACTGACTTGCAATACCTTAGAGGCCAAATGACTTTATCAAGAACGATTTCCAAATCGAAAAATGGACAGTCAAATTTTTTTAATATTCCAATTTAAACTTTACCACTTATAAAGTACTTTAGCAAAATTTTGCCAATAATTAAGGTTGAAAATTGTATGTCCCGTGACGTGTACCAATAAATTCAGAAAATTTTAAATTTTTTGTCAAATGTCTACTTTTATTTTCCTATTAGTCCCACCTCTGTATGTATTGTAGGAAGAGTAAAATAGAAAAATAATTAGACGTGTTCTTTTTTTAAGAATTCTGAACAATCCATTAAAAAAATAAAAAGTGTAGCGTCGATTAAAATTTACTGAAAATATATTTTTAAGGGCGTGCATTGGAACAGAGAAGTCTGAACAAGTCCTCCCAGAGAGAGACAAAATAAAGTTATCCGAGAGGTGCTGCCTCTAGTTAGCAACTAAGTAACAAATATACGTTCTGCATGTTCGCATCTGCGAACAAAAATGTATTCTTCTAAACTCACAGGTACGGGCTTTTATATGGTATAGATTAAAATTTTTTTGACTTTGCCTCCCACTTCGGTGTCACCAGCTGAATTTTTCAGGGATGAAAGTACATGATAAGCTTACCCTTATTCCGGAGGTAATACAAAATTAGACAGTGCAAAAGGGCACTATCATAAAAAATCGAGTTATTGATACCACCATATAGAAAAATGCTTATTTTTTTGTTCTAATGCACAATTAGGTCTTTGTAGGAAGTGTTTTTTATAATTATTTAAAAAAAATCATTTGCATTAGCCCTTATGGTCGAAAAAAAATTTAAACGTCAATATCTCGGTTTCAACCGTCCACAAATTTGTATAAAAAATCTTTTTTTAGAAATATACCTCTCATTTGACGAAAAACGAAGGCCTAAATGAGAAAAAACTATTCTTCATAAAAGTTTTGCCTATGTATTAACAAAGTAACAGTGCTTTCCCCATATTTTTTGCTTTTTTATTAACAAAAATATAGCAATAAACAATTAGTTATATCATGGTTTAACTAGAAAGCAAACATTGAAGGTAAAGCTTCTCGACTCTCTTTCTTCTCTCTCAGTGCTAAAATGTATGAAATCAGTTTGACTCTCTCATATTATTTTATTCAGGGATTATTGATTTATACGCTATGATTTATTTTTATATTTTTTTGAAGAAAATAAAAAATAAGAAAATATGAACTATTTATTGAAGGTATAGACACAGTACCTATATATAAGTATCGATTATTAACAGTAAGGCTATTGCTTTGCAAAATACAATAAATTCCCAATGTAAAAAACATTATAATAATAATAATAATTAAAAGAATACCGGGTGTTCAAATTAAAGTGTTACAGTTAAATACCGCCGAAAATATGCATTTTAGAAAAAAAAAAGTTTCAGGCGAAAGTTTTATAGTTTGTTGGGGGAAACATTTTGGCTAAAATTTTTTTTTATAGCTGATCATAATATGGCCATATCGAGGTGGACTTTGTTTTTTTAAATGGGAACCCTATTTTTTTTGTAAATATTCTTAAAGTACATAAAAAAATAAGAAACTTTAGATGGAAATAATTTTTTTATTCGACTTTCACTTTTTGAGTAACAACTACTTAAAAATTTTGGTAGGCCAAAAAAAAGTTGGCCATATTATGGTTAGCTGAAAAAAAACGATTTTAGCAAAAATTTTTCCCCACAAAACTATAAAACTTTCGTCTGAAACGTTTTTTTTTTATAATAGGCGGTATTTAGCTGTAACACTTTAATTTGAACACCCGGTATAAAGCATAAATTAATATTATTAAAATTTATAAGTACAAGACTTTTAAACTAATCAGAATCAGATTCACCACACGAATCAACATTTTCCAAAACATTAGCGGCTGTGATCAAACTTTTGCTGCAGTTTTTCTGTGCCATACAGGTAGGTGCAGGAACCGATACAGCCAATATTTTTTTCCTGCATTTGCAAATTTTGCTTTCTTAGTCTAGAACAGAATAATATTATTAGAATATTGTACATCTATGAAAATTATTGGTGTATAGTACCTTTTTTGCATTTGCATGATGTAAGTTCTGTTATGTCTGGTGGCAGGTCGGACAGAGTCTTAGAGTGGGTATCAGCCTTCCATCTTGATCTACTTTCTATTTATACTCTTTAACATTAGGAAGCTGCATCTGCGGCTTTAAAGAGCTTAGCCAAATCCCAGACAGCACACTATATCCCTGGAATGTGCCACCAAGCTGCCTATTTGCCAAAATATATTGCAATATGTATGACATATTCACAGAATATATTTCATATTCTACATTCTAGAAAGATATTCCAGGCATATGTAATTTTTGATATGCTCAGCATATTCATTTTTCATATTTTATAGATATCTCTGTAGAATATTATGTTATATTTAACTTTTTTGTTTTATTATCTATAATTACAAATGAAGACATATTTAACATAAACACCCTTGTTTAGTTTATAAAGACTTAAATTAAACAAAAACGTGAACTTAGAACTACGGAATGTAACTTTAAATCATTATCATGCAAACTTATTTTCAGTTAATAAAAAAAATTAAACCTCTGGGATCAAATTATCTTTTTCTTCATATATATAATAAGTAATATAAGTATGTATAGTTTTCCTACAATGTAGACAAGAAAAGGACAAAGAATGATTCAACAGTCAAAAGTATACGCCTAGTACGTATTGGTAGTTAAAATTACCTAATAGTGTCTTATTAGCTCCACTCATAGTCTAACCTCTCCTCGAACGTAAGTCTTTATTACACGAGAGGTTAGATTGTGAGGAATCTTTTTTTATCCATGATACCCTAACCAAATACTCTAAACGGTGAAAGCCACTAATAAAAAAAAGAGAAGAAGAATGTGAACCATAACCAAACATTGTCAGATTTGAGAGAGATGGAGGCGTGATGTGATAGTAGTGATAGAGTTTTTGCTAAGTCTCACGATATACCTACATAAGGGGTAAGTCTGATTAATTATAATATATGGTCCTTCTGTAGTATCAGTGTGGTGCTTAAAATCATAAATATTTTATAAGAAGTGTAAATCAATTGGTAGACGAGTCTCTCTTGTTCTTAAATAATGATAGAGCATTAGCTTCAGATGAATGTAAAATGTAAGCTTCTTACTGAATCTTCCGAGGAAATACAATCATTCTTTTCACCAGGAAAGAATCTGAGTTTATTTCAACATCTCTCTTTGTAAAGGATAATATTAATTCAAAGACATCTAATGCTAATGAATTACATATTGTTAGTAATAAAGTAATTGATCATAATAAAAGTTTTTAGAGGAAATCAAAATATGGGCTATTCGTAATGAAATTGCAGACAAGGCACTATGTAATCCTATTTTTGTTTTTTTAGAGATATGTGGAAATCCACAGTACAGAAATGGCAACGGAAAATGTAGAGGAAGCCATTACTATAAATAAAGTTACCCAAAGATGCTATGGAAGTAAGTATTACTGTAATGTTTGTATCAAGATTTTGAAATATTTCTATTTTACCTGATATTTTCATCTCAATTCTAACACTTATCTCATAATACATATCTTATATATCATTTTTTTAGGAGAAAAGTACGTGAAGAACCTCAGCAAATAAATTTAAATTTACAGTTTTTTGTATGTATGTATTGTTTTTATTTTTGGAAAATTTACTTTATTTTTCAATTAAATTTATTTTGTTTTTAAGTGTGGGTTTTATTTTCTAAACTATGGTCCTGCATTACAAAAAAAAATTGAATATGCCATGAATATTCAAAATACCGTGAACATAGATATCCTCAGTAAATCCAAAGAATATGCCATACATATATTTTGGCAGATAAAAACATATTGTGGGCATATGTTTCATGGTGACCTTGAATATTCCTGTAATCTTCCTGTCATATGCCATGGCGGATATGGCATATCCATGGAATATAGGAGTATGCAGTTGAGATATGCATTGAATATTCATGCAATATTGTTGTGCTGTCTGGGATATTTAGCTGGTAAAAACATCTTAAACAATGTTATCTTAGGTCGTTTTCAGTCGGTGGCAATTTAGCAATGGTTTTTAAAGAGGCCATTAATCCCCTCAAAATGTTAATGGAAGTAACACTGGCAGTTTTTGAATAAATTTTTATGAAACATTTTTCAAGATTAGAGAATATGTTTTCTTTTCCCAATGCCAGACTATTGGCTGGTTGTATCATAACCGGTCAGAGAAAGAAAAGCAGGCAAATTTTTTAGAAGATACCATTTAAATTTAAATCATGTACTGCTAGAAATCGTCTTGAGTCTCTTCGCCCTGTTCTGAACCATATCTCTTTAGTCAAATACTTCTTGAAATAAATTTTTAAGACTAGAACATCTGTATCGTTGCAATCAATAATGCAGCATGAATGCTCCGAATTTTTGGCTAACAATATGTGCAATAAGATACGAGTATCAGCTTCTTTATGATTTGAATTTAAGAAATCATCTTTTGATAGTTCAAAATTCGTCCCATATTTATTGATATTCGCGA